TTTTGTTTCCAGAAATATCCACTCAGGTGATCATAAAATTTGAGTAAATTTCTTTTCACGATCCTTAAACGAGAATTACAGAGCATTAATGCAATAAGATTCTTTGTTCATGCTTGGCTCAGCAGTTTACGGTATTTTATTAGAATTTTTATTTTGATATTATCTTGTTGTACGTGCTTCCCATTAGTACTGAATTGGTAATTAGATCAGTTCTCTTCCAATTAAAGAGTGCAGCTTTTGCTTCGATGAAGGACTCTGATGCGTAGCATTTGTTAGGTTAGAATTCATAGGTCATCTCTATACGGTTCTAAAAACGTATTCGCTTAATACAATTAGTACTTATTTTATTACCGATTCAAGGGCTTAATAAAGCGTATATAACATAATAAAATAAAGTATATGTAATCCAAGATATTTTATTACGAATTTCCAATCCGCTTTAATTTTCAGAAAATGTGATTTCGTTGTTCGATTTTCAATGTGCTTTAATCCGCAGAAAATGTAATTTCTCTTATGAATCTCCAATATGTTGTATATTTTCAGAAAAATCAGTTTGTGTCAGTGTCAATGAATGTGAATTATTGTCATTCGGTTTATTTGAATTATTGTCAAAATACATTTGTGTTATTTATACTTTAATTCTGATTGTGGATTTTGAAAATTTGTAAACAATAGGGAACGATAATATAATTGAAAAAAAATATACGTTTGTATTGATAAACAATTCTTTAAACATTCTATTTTCATTTATCTACTTCGTTGAATTAGTCCCATTGATAAACTTACGTCACGAAGAAAGAAAATAAGTTTAATAGTATTTTATTTTCAGCATTGTATAATTACAAAATAATAACTGAATTCACGAAAAATAAATTGAAATTAAATTCCTGATATGTTGGCATCCTCATTTACATTAATTCCATATGATCGGTATAATAAGCAATATTTTTTACTTAATATCTTCTTCTCTATCCTTTCTTTTAATCGATGCCCTACGCTACAAAAAAAAATCGAACATTCTAAGGCATTCAAGGGTATTCACCTTAATTAAATTCCTAGCGCGTTGTATCCTCATTTACATCTATTCTATCGAAGCAGTATAGCACAGCTCGATGATATTGCCATTATTAATATTCTTCTTTATCTATCTGTTAACATTTTCATATAATAAAAACATATGAAATAAAAAGGAAATTCAAGAAGAAGAAATTATGTTTGCTTTCGTTTCTTGGTGACCCTAACGCATTTTATCGATTTTTGTCTCGTCACGATGATGGGGATTTATTGACATAAATCACCAGGCTCATTGAACACTTCCTTACTGGTGTGAGGATTTTCGAGACTAACTTAAGCCACGTTCACACTAATTGTAAGTAGTAGTTGAAGTTAAAAAGTAGTTGTTCGAGTAACTTGAATTCAAGTAACTTGACTAATCTGAACATCTAACAGTTTACGCTAGTAAAGTAGGTTTTTCGAAGTTGCTCGAGTTCGAATTGTTCAAAGTCAGGTAACATGCTAATCTAAACGAGACTTTACGTGTCGCTTAAAGACCTTATCGTCGATGTAAACAAATGGCGCGCTAGTGGATTCGAGCCTGTTGAATTATTGGCGGAAACAGTTAGGCAACGCGTTGGATAGATTGACGTTACGTGCTCTCGCATATTCGTGGCATTCGCTTCCGCCTACTTAATTCGACGTCTGAGTAATTCCAGCCTGTCAGATCTGCGTCGGTTCGCGATTCCAGACTGATTGTAAAGCAATTCTTCTTCAAATCGATTGAGAATTAATTTCAGCCAGCCAGTTTAATTTCGCTTGATTTTTTGCTGAAAAGGGGATTCTACGAGCGCTTTGAGGTTATGTCGTGGTTATAGATAAGAATGTCTGCTGGGATTAAATCCAGGTCTTTAAGAGAGAGGTCTCTTGTCGGCAATAAGATTAGGTTCAAGAAAGAGGCTTTGTCGATGGAAAGTTAATGGAGAAAAATAGTTCGTTGTTCAATGAGAAGGAATTATTGTATTGACATCGATTAACTTGTTTACCTTCGTGTTGTCATATAGTTGGACTATTAATTACTACTTCAGGTAGTTTCCTTTCTTATCTTGTTAATTTGTAGATATCAATTAATTAAAAAATTGTTCTTTTAGAAAGATAAGACTCGTCATACTATCATTTCTAAACCGAAGAAAGTTATAATTCTATCATTTTCTTCGTGCCATTTCTTCTTCACATTTGTATCTCTTTAAATATTTTCCTTTTTCTTACTTCTTACTTTACTATTTTACTTTATTTGCAAAAAATGTAAAATACTCTGGAACCAAATACATCAAAAACTATCATTATTTTATAACAGCGTGTATAATGTAATCTCGTTAGAAGTATTGTAAAATGCGCGGAGTAGTAATTATAGTGGGTTTATACACTGTGAAAATTGCCTATATTGACCATATACATCGATTCATTAATTCATTGATGCCACATCTACGAATTATATATAGAATTATAATTAATACTCTGCAATAATATTTGGTTAGCATAGCAATAAAAGGTTCCGTGAGACAATAATCCCTGTATTTTGTAGATGCGATTATGGGTCGAAATAGTGTGTTTTGTCGTAATATCGGGGAGTTACAATTGTAGCGATGAAATCAGCGACTTTTCTGACGTAACGATAAGCCTCTACCGTAACCAGTACGATTAGTCCGATTATGATTCACGAGGAACACGAGCAGAGTTCTGAAGCTCGTTTGTTATTCGTGCGATATTCAAGGAAAATAAGATAACGCGCATTTTAGACGAACAAAAAAAAGAGAAAAGATTGCCAGGGAACAAAGAACGGAAAGCGATTGAAAAAAGTGACTAACGATAGAATAATAGAAATGTGGCCATTGCGTTGCTAGATTAATTATAGAATTCTCCGAACAAGACATTACTTATAGTGAAATATTACTTGACATATTCCATGTCGTCTTAATTCGCAGCAACTATAATTCATTGTATTAACTTTGCTATTTTCCTTATTACCTTATCACTTTGTCTTTATTATTTCCTTATTACGTTTTCTATTTGCAACTTTCTTAATTGAAGTATGTTTATAGCATAGTTTTATGTATATAGTTTTATAGTATATGTATATAGTTTTATATTACATTGATGTTAGAAATATATCTGTAGTGGTTGAACTATACACGTGTCAACTAATAGTTGATTACACTAATATTTAACATTGCTCAACAATGTTACAGACACTATATAGTAGTAGCAATAGTATCTACTATACTAGATTTATCATAACAATTCTTAATTATACCAAATTCATTAGAAAGATCTGCGACTACATTAGGTCCATTTGAAAGATACTCGACTATATGATATTCACTGTAAAAACTACTATACAAGATATCCACAAGGTTCAACTGTAGAAAACATGCACTATACGATTATGCTAGACTACAAATATATATATTACAACTATACAATGATTAATTTCGCAAACAACGACAACGATTGACAAACACGAACGATTGACAATATGAACCTCCATATAGCTAATGGATGATCGCGCTTCCATTCGATTTTCAAATTCCATCGCGTCATATCTATTCATAATAACTCGACACTGTCATATCATAACGCCTAATCGGTTTATCTTTTAACAACAATTACGCCAGTCTCACGATACACGGTAACAACAAAGGAGAAAAGAAAAAGAATAAAGGATAGGCGTAAGATTGTTGCAATTGAAAGTTACGCGACTCAAGGATATCTGCCGCTTAGACAGAAGCGCAAAAAGCCGAACTCATTCCATTAACATAATTACGCGGTGAGACACTTACAATAATGAAGACACAACGCGACATCGGTAAACAGCGTGTGCTTTGTTTTCGCGGATTTTCAAATAATCGCTATGAAGCTTTGTTTCCCCTTAAAATACCATACGATACTCTGTGTAACATTCTTAAGTAGTTGGCAAGGGTGTCTCATCTTTGTATCGACCAGAAGATGTGGCAGCTATGCATAGGGTTTGTAACGATAGCTCAGCATTTTTAGACAGTGTAAATTGAACGCGGCCGAGCGATTCGACACGGTATGACACGTGGTTGTCAGATTTAAGGAACGTGGCAAAACACAGCGCACGCATCGACTCTCGGAAACGTGTTGCTGTACTCACGTTGTGTCGGAACGTGGCATAACCGATGATGCAGACGCGAGGAAAGTCGAGACACGAGTTTATATTTACACCAGTACCTTGAAAAAATTCGTGCTTCGACCATGTAATTCGCGTTTCCCTGGCGTGAGCTCGCGGTTCACGTGAGTCACGCTCGAAATCGATACGATCCTCACCTCACACCAGGTGTGTATTACGCTTCGTGAAAAAAATGGCTGAAAGTCAGATTGGATCGAAACGATGGAGGTTTGGTCCGTTTGAGAGAGGGTGGACTGGATGGAAGATATTTTATATCGATTTTGTTACCTGCCATTTCGTTATTCGAGATCGTGTGGTTTGGTGGTTTGAATGCGTCGGTAATGAGGGTTGGATTTTAATTGGTAGAAGGTATTCCGTTTCGATTCAACTTTTCCTGGCGAATTTCGATGCAATTGGATCGGATGGAGTGATTTCAAGGTTGAACAAGAACGCACAACTGCATTTAATTAACTTCGGCATCGAACTTTATTTTAGTGAAATTTACACACACATTTAACGCTTCAACTACCAGGTAGTTACTATAAAAAAAATTCGCAACTTTTTATAGGAATCTGTGTGTTAGATTGAAATTTACAACGATGTAGTTTCAGACATTTACTCGACGCTCATAAAAATAGGAATTTGCATAAAAGTCTGCAGTTTAGCGATCACAGAGCAGCGGTCGATCACGTTGCGTCACAATCCGTTATCTGTTCAGCAATGAAATTAGCAAAACAGATGTTTATCCGCGATAATGACCAAGCACGCTTACTCGACGGTCGCGTTTTCACTGGTCCATGAATCATTCGTGCGTAGTGAGTGGACGCGAACGTTCCTTCGCGACTTTCGCGCACAATCTTATCGAATTTCTTGCCTTATCATTGAATAGACGCGCAATCGAGATGCGTTCTATATCTTAATTACTTCCTTCCGTGCTCTTTTCTATATTTCTCCTTCTTTTTTACGTTCTTCTTAATTTTCTTACCAAAAGATCGCAAGGTCGTGTCGCGAACAAAGGAGAAGTTTATTCGAAGTTTCGTTCAAAGGTCATCGAGCTAGTTTCTGTTTAAATTGTGTTTGATTCGTCAGATTGGGATTATCTGCTCCTATGGTATCAGTGGACTTTTGGAATGTTAAAGTAGGTGTACGTTAGTATCGGTTACTTGTTTGAAACATCGGAAAATTGTTAGAAATATCGTGTGTTATTATGCATCATGCGCGTACCATAATTGAATTTCTTGTTAATTCTATTCCGAATTCATATAACGAGATAATCTCAAGGGCACGTCCTCGTTAATCTGTTTCATTGTATCCTGTACTTTCTATCATTTGCGTCTTATCTTCGATATAATAACCTTTTAAGACGTGTTTACAATTTTCTTTTTTTTATTTTTAGTGGTGTTTATAAAGTTTTAGTGTTTATAAAACGCAGGAAAGCGATATCTGTAAGTATTATTATAATACTTTGTGCAATAGACATAATTATTTTACCTCTTATCTTTATTACTATATTATGTATTTAGTTCTGCTATACCTGTTATTACGCTTGTCACTATACTAATTAAATGCATGAAACTCATGATTATTCGAAATAAATGACACGTGAAGTTTGAAAATTCATATCTCGCAGTGTTTTCTAAACAATTTCGTATCAGCTACAAGAATATGCAGTAAAAAAATACAAGTTCGTATTTTTAAGTGTTTTAACTTACCGACTTCATTTGTGTCTTTCGCAACACTATAAGTCATTGCAAGGTCAAATAATTTCTAGTATGCTTTTTGTATTGCTTGATAATCTATAACATTTATCTAAAACATTTTTCCGTATTCTTCGTATTTTTCAAAATAATTCATCGTTCACAAGTTCGATACTTCATTTTCTATTGCTATTGCTATATCGCGGATTGCAGTGATATACTATTGTTATTGTTAGTGCTATAATTAACTATCGCCACAGTAGCGTAATCATTTGTCCATAAAGGTTAGGAATTCTATTAACCTTTTTCGATGGCACCACTATTTATAGAAATAAATGGTTACCACTCATTATATGCCATATTCTGCATAACTATCTCAAAGCGGTGTATTTCCTAGATGATAGAAATTCATATTTACAGGAATATTCAATTATATCGCAAGAGCTACTGTGATATTCAAGTTTCGCGCAAAAATATAATCTCGAAATTTCCAATAAATTAGTTCGTTTCCCATATTAACACTTAGCCAACCGCGCGGGCCATTGCGAGCTATACGTTCCCTACCGCGCATTTTTCTAAGTGTCGATGACTAGTATTCGCTATTTAAAGAACAAAGAAGTATAAAAATTATTCAAGTGATTAATTATATTTCGCGGTAATGATTTTATTTAACGATTTCACATATTGTTTATACAAAACATCAAATTAAAAGTATATATTATAAGTATAAAGAAATATAGGTAAAATTAAGAGCATTAAAGATGACTAAAGATAAATACCACGACTCGAACGTGAAATTAAAAATTCATAATGCATGTTAATATTATTTTACAGTGTGGTATCGTTCGATTATAACTTTATTTAGTCATAACTGATAGTGTAACTTCTTAATTAATTTTAACACTACTAAATTGCTGTATTTTATTATATACTGTACCTTATAAAAGCAGTGAAAGTAGCGCAATTAATTAGCAACAATTCCAGCTAAACAATAACTGATAATAACAATATAAAAAAAAAGGAAAATGCTTAGCTAAAGTCAAAAAGAAAGTCTGCCAGTTCGGTCACGCAGCGATGTTCTTCACAGAGGACAGATTTTCCAATTCGGTTGGCTAAGTGTTAACAAAGAGATATTAACAAATAAATTGTTGAGCAAAACTAGCCTTTTTCTAAAATGTATAGAATCCTCCGTCACAGTATGTTTCCATCAAACAGGTCACAAATTCGATTGAACTCGTTCAAAAATTCATCTCACAAAGAATATAACCTAACAGACACGAAGATGGTACCCCGCTGGGAGTAGCCACCCACATGTTATATTATTATACCACTAAGCTATAATATTTTATCAAATGTCCTACTGGACAAATTGTAAAATTTAAATAACCTACTGGACAAATTGTAACTACTGGACAAATTGTAAAATTTAAATAAATAAATAAATAAATAAAAAAAAAATTCATCATCGGTCGTGAGAAGCGTTCTCCAAGAATCTTTTTCTTTTTTTTTTTACTCCGACGAGTGAAAATCGTCAATCATAAATTGATCTCTTTCTAAAATGTAGGAAAACCTTCGCAAGCTAGGGAAATTTAAGCTAGAAAAATTTACCGAATGTTCAGCTGGACAAATAAAAATTAAACAAAAAAAAAAAAAAAGAAAAGAAAACCTTCGTAGGCGATTTACGTATAGGTACGGCATATTTCTACTAAACACAGGTTCGTTCGAAATCCAACTCCGACCGCGAGAATCGTTTTCGAGGAATCTCCTTTTTACTCTGGCGAGTAGAAAAGCGAACAAGGAACGACAATTTGAAACGAGGTGGGGAGCGGAGAGGGGAGAGGGAGAAGGGTGGTCTGGCGAAACGTGCAAACCGCGTGCAACAGCGTGACGCGGCGACTCGATAAATAACGAAACGCAAGCATCGGTGTCCCATTTGCGGGGAAGCGAAGCGTTCTCACGCGCGGCTCACGTTTTTCCATTGCGCAACCGTCATAAAGGCAATTACAAGGCCTCGTGGATACACACTTGGCGATCCTAAAGGTATCATACGAGAAACGTCGGTCGTAGATAATCAGGATTCGACGAATATTGGAATTTGCCATGCATACCGCAAGGTTCTGTTCAACCATCGCCTCTTTACTTACATAATTCAACGTTGATGATGCTCGTGCTGTCGTATACGCGTCGCGATAATTATAACATGGTGACCATGGGCCCGATAGCGTTCTACTACGCACTTTCTGCTACACGCGCTTCATTGTCCGATAAAATCGAGATTTCCCGACGATTACTTGCAGCTGCGTTCCGTACAGTTGAAAATAATCCGACCGACATACATAGAACTTTACCAAATTTAGCCATTTTAACCCTTTGCACTCGACAGCCTTTTCGGTAAGGCGTAGCAGCAACTCGAGGTGATTTGGCGCGTGTGTAACGAGTGTCCTGTAGGTAATATAAAATGATTTTATAGAAAAATTAACTTAAAGAAATATATTTTAATACTCTATATATATTTACATCTTCGAACACATTTTTTAATATTTTTTCTTTTTTACAATAATTTATAAAATGTCTGCCAAGGTGCATCCTTGGTTTGTCTTTTGTTCATTTGCAGAATATGTGAATTAATTAAACAAATTTCCATATGTATTTTTTTAGAGTTTCTAAATTTACGAAACTATAATACTTCTGCCACCATCGTCGAATCTGAACTAACGTCAGAGACGTTGCCAGAACCATAGTTTCGAAAGAATTCCAGCATAAATATTTTATCTCCGTTTTAAAATGTAACACTTCATGCTTCATAACAGACAATACAAAAGAGCTAAGAAATCTATTTACGAACCAATACTGAGCTCTCATCAGCTGGAGAGGTCGAAATCTAGGATAAACAGGGACTGTCGTCTCTTATTCCCCTCTCGAGCTGCCACACGGAACGCTGTGGTCGCGGAAAATACCCCTCGAGTGCAAAGGATTAATCTCTTAATCATATTTACCAGCCACCAACATGTCACATTCTTTTGCTTGAGAAATCTCTAAGAATTTCAGCAACCAAAGGTCTCAGAATCTTCGTCGTCCAGATAAAGTAAACGGAACTGTGCGGAATCAAGCTCTTTTATCCCAAAATTATTTAACAATCGTAATCACGTCCCATTCTCTTCGCCTAAAATATCTCCGACCAAGAATTTCAACAGCCAAAGATCGTGCAAGTAAAACAGATCGAACCTTAGCGAACCTAACTCGCTAATAATCAAATTTCACCAGTCTCAAATTGCCCAACAAATAGCTACCAATCGTATTCTTTCCTCTAAAAAGTCTCTAGTCAAGAATATCACCGACCAAACGTTCCAAAATCTTCATCGCCCATACAAAACACGATCGACCTTGGATTATCGAATATCAGTGTTACGCTACCGGTGCCATTACAATTTTTACGAATATTTTTCTAAAACGAGGCGTTATCCGTTGTTATTATAGGCGCTGAAGAGCAAGAAGAAGGTCAGGATGCTGAGCAGTTTGGCAAACTACCTACTCGGAGGTAATATCTCCGGCGCGCAGGGTTCACGGCAAGGGTCCAATAACGAAACCCCGGAGACCCATCCAGTAATGGCGAGGCTCAGTCAGGTGGAGATTGAGGGCGATGACTGGATCCTCATTGACCGTACTGGTACGTTCAACGAGCGAGATAAACGTTCCTTTCCAAAGGGAATCTCGAGAAATTCGAATATATATATATATATTTTGTATCTGTATATACACATATATATGTATGTATATAGATGAAACACACATAGAAATCACATCTTGCAGTCCAACTGCCTCTCACACGCCAAGGGAAGCTTTCTGTCCCCTTCGGGTGTAAAATGAGATGCCTTGGACCATACAGCGATGAATAATGCGAATACTCCAGTGCTGGAAAATAACGAGGCCTTTCTTGCCCGATTGTTTTCCTAATGAAGTTTGTTTGACTTGTCTTCCAGGCTGTTTAGGGTGATTGCTAGTTTTAAGCTTGGTAGGTCTGTCTGTAGTTATTGTCGAGCTTGGAAAATAGGCAGAATGTGTTTTATCCTTGTTATTTAGTTTGTTTTGTATTGTTTCGTATTGTTACTTCAAATAGAATTGCATGTCAAAGTTTCGGAGTTTTGTTTTTTTTTCTCTTTCTTTTTTTATTTCGCTTGCCTGTGCGAGTTTTGCATTGCTGAAAGAGATGGAGAGAGAGAGGGGGGGGGGAGAGCGAGAGAGAGAGAGAGAGTGTGTTATATAATTCTTCCAGGCGTAGAAACGTTTGAATACTACCGGTATGGAAAATTATTAAATTTGATTTTTCTCTTTTTCGGTAGACACTGTATTTTATATCTTTTATAATTAGGGGTTCATTCACTGGACGTTTTGATGTTAATTTTGCAGAATTTATGAAAGTAGGCGTATGAAAAAGGTATAGAGGGAAGAAGTATGAATTACATTCTTGTAAAGGGTTGAAACAAGAGATGATATACGGGCAAAAAGCTTCATTTAATGCATGCAGGGTGTTACAGACTACTGACGATGTTGTGTACTTTTATTTTTAGCTTTTAACAATTCATTCGCAATTTCTCTCCTTATTGCAGACAATCCAGCAAGTTCCACCACTTTCTTCGACTCCATTTTAGGTATCCATTTTCCATTAGGTATCCGTTTCAAGTCAGATTGCTTGAATTCAAATAATATCGAGATAAATGAAATCAAATGACTTAGGTTTTCTGAAATTTGATCAGAAATTTGAAATTGATTTACCCCGATATATATATATATAATATATATATCATATATAATGATTAGCTTTTAACGAAACATATGATTATTATGAGAATGATTAAACAAATGGAATTCAAGCAACCTGACCTAACCTAAGCTACATTTTAGTCTATAAAAAACAATGACGATTAAAAATATTACGTTGTTACACAATAAATGTCGTTTTCTGCTCAACTTTTCATACCGGTTCATCTGTGCATCAAACAACTCTTATATGCCACGTATACGAACTTGTGAGACAAGCAAACCTAAATATTTGAAGAAGCTATATGAATTTGGATGCCATTTACTTACAGGTCTTCATCTCAAAATAAATGCTTTATCAAAATTAGTTGTCAGATGCTTTATCGTAGAGCAGACATTCATCGTAGAACAATGTAATGGAATTTCGAAAAACGTGTTTGCAGACCTGAAAATAATATTATCGAAGATTATAGTTAGAGAAAGTTTCGGTACTACATTCATAGTTCTCTTTTTCTCGATCGAGTTTTTAGTAGCGCGTTGCGTTTCTTTCATCGATATTGCAGTTCACTTCTTCAAGGCAGTTTCAGGTCTGCCCTCAGAACAAAAACACTAGCAATTATAAGTATTTGGACACTTCCTGGTATTAACGTAAATTCGATGTTTCCCATTGCTTTTATCTCTCGATTATTTTATTATAAATCTATTGATCCATTCGTATCGTACATGTCATACGATATAAAATACTACACAGAGTAAAATTTCCTAGAGTTTCGCAATAATTGTGCGAAATAGATATCCTAATACTTATGACCGACAGTGTAAGTTATCTACAGGGCATACACTGGAGAAGTAATGCTATAAGCGAGCTTTAAAACCTGCAGTTGACGGAACGACGGCGCTGGAGGAGTCGTGGTATGTAACACCACCCGCATGTTTTACACGGGCTGGTCCCGTGAACGTAGAAACATCACCGCTAGAGGACCTGCTGATAGAGCATCCTAGTATGTCCGTTTACCGAGCCACAGCGCCTTCGATCGCTCCTGAAACTCCACCGCCAACGCCAGACGCACCGGAAGAACGAGGCGTCGAGGAGGACGCTCTACCAAACGTCGCTTCCAGTGCACCGGTCACCGCAACACCAGCATCGCCGGAACGTGCCCCCGGCAGAAGCCAAAATGGACAACAAGCAACCCGTAGACCAGACACCCGCGACGAAAGACCTCGTGCACGCACTGAGAAGAGGATAGTTCAGCTTCGGTCGGCGCAAAAGGTAATTCGCTGTTAACTTTTCTTTTTTTGTTTTATAAGCGAGAATATGGTGTTTGTAGCGACATAAACGCCAGTTCCCTGGAATACTTATTTCCTTATTACACTAATAAATTAACTAATATTGATTCATTACACTGATACAAATTACAAATTAATGTCAAGTGGTTGTGACGCTAAACTATATTCTACTATTTCTTCACTATCGAATTTTCCGCTTTTCCCTAAGAATAATGATATGTACTTGATAATAGTGCATTACGAAGTGGAGTATAATTTGAAACTTCTACTGGAGACCTGAACATTTTACAAACGTAAGACAAAGAAGCTAATTATTTTATGATCACCGCTCGCCGCCCAAAATACATATTTCAAGATCCAACGCTGATTATCAATTAACATACCTGCTTAACCAAAGTGTCCATTGCTGAAGTATAACCGAGATAACGACCTGTCCATAGAAGTAGCCAAACATTTCATTTTAAAGTTCAAATATCAGATTACTTTTAACGTTCACTTAAAACTGAAAAGCTCCATCCTTCCAAATATAAAGAGATTAATTTTCCATATTGCAGCATATTATGAAGATAAATTTCAATGAAATTTTTGAGTGTCAATGAAAATTACGTGCAGGTTTACGAGAAGAGGACTACCCAAGCACTGAAGAGAGGTCGCCTGGAGAGAAGTAACAAGCTGAGGGAAGTGTTGAGCGTAAAAGGCAAGCGGCCGCGCCGCCAAGACCGCTTGCGTATCCAAAACAGTGGCGCGAACAACAACCGGAAATGCTAGTCATTTGATCTCAGGCCAAGGTGTACTCATATACTTTCTTCCTAAAACGCGAATAGGCATATAACAGAAAAATCTATGTCGCATTGAAATAACGATTAAAAGCAATTATTTAATAAGAAGAAAGAGAGGAAACCAATGAGAAATGGAAAAAACAATGAGAAGACATAAGAACAGAGAAATTCGTTTCTAAAACCCCTATTTATCTATTGTTCGGTGGAAGCCATAAAACACTAAAGTCGCATAAAACAACTAACAAACAGAAGCTAATCGAAATACAAAGAAAGAAAAGGTAGTAGTAAAAATCTCGTGGAAAAACAAAAGAAAGAAAGAATAATAGCGAAGAAGATTAGGCAAAAGTGTGGTTATCCTCTCTTAACAAGTTTTATGTTAGCTAAGCCGCTCCTCCGCGTACAAAAACACTGAAACAATTTCCTATGCAAGAAGGGTTCGTATCAAGAAGAAAAACTAATACCACTTAGCAAAAAAAAAAAAAAGAAAAAAAGGACAAAAATATTCGATACGAACTTGATATCTTGCTGATGGAAAAGGAAGAAAAGCGAAGAAAAAAATAAAAGGGAAGAAAGTATGAGAAACGTTATTGGTTCGCGGTGAGAGTCTCATCTATAGAATATCTCGTGTATAATGGCGCGTGTATGGTACTCAGTTGGATCGTGTGTATAATTTTTAGCCTCTAGTATGGGCAAATGTGTTTTTACTCGTACGTTTAACTCGTTAGTTTTTATTTAAGTCGATCAATCATTTATGCGCCTGTGTAGCGTAACAGGAGTATAACTTTTAGTGTAATAACCGAAACCTGATCTTATTTTCCCCGAAAATCCCATGGACGTCGCTATCCTGCTTCTATAAACTGATTCACGATGGTGCGACTTTCAAATGGCCAGAACCTCACTTCGGGACCATACCTTTTAGGTTCACGTTACGATTAATTTCTGCTGGATTTTATCAACTCTAAATGGTTGATTATAATTACAAACGTGGTATAATTTATGCGTTACCTTTCAAAGCGGCTCCGAAGATAGCTGATAGTCGTAGAACGTCCATTTGATAGATGTCGCTGTTCTTCGTGGTGTCTTATCTTTTTGAAAACATAAGTGTCACGATTAGACTGCGGATTTTTCTGCATTTGTATGCAATTTAAATGTGCAAAACTGAACGGAATGCACGTATACAACAATATCTAGAATATCCAAGATAAAGTACTGAAATTTCTATTCAAATTCTATCATTTCACTTATACAACACCCAAAACAAGAACACAAAATTGCCTAAATGTCCACAGTCTACTTGCAACACGTTTTCCTCTAAGCAATAAAACGCTGTCAAACAAGAGACTGTAGCAAATGTTTATCGATGGACGTTCGTCAATAAACGTATTTATTTAGCGGCACACATGGTATGGTACTATCAACTGAATATCGATTAAACTAAGCGTACCGTTTAGATAAAGTGAAAACGAGGATGACACACGCGTCTTGAAGAGAGAAAATGGAAGAAAGCCTTGGCTCCTCTCTCTAATCGTCTCAACGAAAATTATCAAAACTCTTGTCAATAGTTCTTGGCCTGTCTTACGCATAGATAGAAATCTAAACCTAAAAGTTGACGAGTAAAGATGATTCAGTGTCTCGTAAAGGGACAGAAGCAAGGCTTGAATACAAAATTCTTTCTCTCAATCTGGAGAATCGGTCTCTATATAGCTGATGCGCGTTGTAGCGCAGTTTCAAAGTATTCGCTTTTCATGGAAGGATCGAAGAATGAAGCAAGTGCAAGCTGCCCTGACCGAACCCAGGGATCTCGTTGACACTGGATTGGTCGAGTCTCACTCGTTGAGGATACTTGTACCTGGGCAACTGGTCGGACAATTGGCCCTCTTGCATAATTGGTTATTAATATAACTAACAATTGCACTGTCAATATTATTATATTTAGTTAAGTGAACAAAATTTTACTTACTGGTTTCGTTTGTTTATCATTGGTAATGGACTATAGATGCTATAACACCGTGGAACAAATTTCTGGTTAAACTCAATTTTTTGTACAGTTTATAGTAATTGGATTGTAAGTGTTAAAGTATTTAGCGAATTGAGCCAATTGTTGCATTCTATCTTTTGTAATTAATATGACGTGTAATTGGAATTCATTAGCTTAACAATACCAATTTAATTGTGCAAGAAAGCCCCTAAAAGAATTGTAATTGTCAGCTTGAAACTCCTCAAGGTGCTTAGGGCGGACTGTTTTCTAATTTAAGAAAGGAACACAAGAAACCTAAGTTAGGTTCAGATAAGACAAATAAACAGTCTGCTTGCAGATGTGCTATGTAATCTTGAAGAACGAGCCAGAGTTCAAGTACAAGTATCACGGCCATAATAGCGAAACAGCTCGAGGAGAGAGATTGGTGTCGCCAAAATTGGACTTTTTATAAATTCAGACTCGCGTGTCCAAGTATCAGTGCGAGATTGTGCAATATCGTCACTATTATACAAACTCCCCTCAGATGATTTCTTCTATGAAGAAAACCCGGCGACACCACGTTCAACTCGACAGCAATCTCGTTTAAATGAAATTCAGACTTCTTTGAAGTTTCAAGAAACCACAGAATGCTAGAGAACAGTCACTGCCTGGGGTGTTTCTTCGAGAGTTGTTTCGTCAAGGCCCTAGAAGCTGGATATCGTCCAAAATAAAAAAAAGTAAAAAATAATAATAATAATAATAATAAATAAACTAGTAGCAATAGAAACTCGTCCAATCAAACTATTGGATGATAGTTGTCAGACAGCTGTGATTCAAACTGAATTCGACCTCGAGCGACCCTCTCCTCCGCAAGGAGAATAGCTAATCGTGTTTCAAACAGGAAACTTTTCTCCTTTGTGGTCCTAGACTCGTGAATTTTTCTAAAAAAAAAAAAAAAAAAAAAAAAAAAAAAAAAGCGACACCACGTTCAACTCGACAGCAATCTCGTTTAAATGAAATTCAGACTTCTTTGAAGTTTCAAGAAACCACAGAATGCTAGAGAACAGTCACTGCCTGGGGTGTTTCTTCGAGAGTTGTTTCGTCAAGGCCCTAGAAGCTGGATATCGTCCAAAATAAAAAAAAGTAAAAAATAATAATAATAATAATAATAAATAAACTAGTAGCAATAGAAACTCGTCCAATCAAACTATTGGATGATAGTTGTCAGACAGCTGTGATTCAAACTGAATTCGACCTCGAGCGACCCTCTCCTCCGCAAGGAGAATAGCTAATCGTGTTTCAAACAGGAAACTTTTCTCCTTTGTGGTCCTAGACTCGTGAATTTTTCTAAAAAAAAAAAAAAAAAACAAAAAAGTAAAAATGGAAAAAGGAAAAAAATACAAAAAAGGGACTTTAATTATTCCAGATCCCACTTGAGATTCTTCTAAAGCGTTGTAGCCGCCATCTAGCGAACTATTGCAGTACTTAACAGGCTGATGTGATCTGGAATAAGTTAGGTTCTCCTAGACATTCTTCATTGAAGCAAATTTTTGGCGTATTAACGAAGGAACCGAAGTCGAGGACCGCATTGGATCCAACTCGAAATCAGTCTGATTTTAAATGACGATTCTGTAAATAATAATTAAAGATGATGAGTGTCGTGAACGATTAAGGGCTGCGTTCCCGTTGGTTTGCCAAGCTGCACAAAATTATAGTCCGAAAGATAACGAAGTGAGAGATTATGAAGGATGTTCCTTGCTCTCGCGGTTAATTCATGTGTACACGTATTACATAACGTTTACCTTTCTCTCGTAAGAAACAGTGTTCGTCCTGAATAAACTCATTACTGCTGTGTAATAAATGTATTAGAAAAGAAAACAGAAAATGACAAAAAGAAAAAATGATAACGAAAAAAAGGATTGATACGAGAAGAATGGTGTTGATGATAGGCAAGGTGATTTTTGTGGCGAGAATTAACATACGATTTTATGACATCTTTCATTATCGTATTGAATTAAATGTATGCTCGTACACCTTGACCGTATAACGATGGTTAATAAAACATTTTATGTCGCTAATTAATTGTCGACTTATTTTGATAATTTTCTAAAATAATTTTTCTTTTTCTTTCAATTTTTTAGATACTTTTGTTTAATCTTAAATAGCAGATTCATTAGTTATTTTTAATTAATCTTTACCTTGATAAGTATTTATCGCTTTTATTAGAGTAAGCTAGATAAATTAGCAGTTTATTTTATATATTGTATTTTTAATCAACAGAACTATAGTACTCGTCTGATAAAATATTATCTCTGGTATTTTCGATAAAATTGTTGTCGTTCGAATGATTTCTTATTAACTAGTTTCTTCCAGTGTATTTATAATTTCATCGTAAAATTTCATTGGCTACGCCTTGAAAAATAATTCTTTATCGCAAAGAAACCTAACCTCTTTTTCAAACTACTCTAGTTAACTACACATTTTTATATTTGTTGGCACTTACGCTATACTTTATACTACTTCGTCTCTTCTATTAAAGAAACTCATCCAGAATAACCAAACACGAAGTTGTTCGCAAAAGAAAGGATCAGTGTTTCTGCATTTAGAGAATTTTCGATATATCCAGACAGAACGTCAGAGATGAAAATGAGCTGAAATATAACGATCGATGCTTAATTGGTCAGATAACCGCTCAGTTCTTCGTCAGGTCGTTTAAAATCGGCTATGTAGCTGCAACTATGCACAGAGTGAGGTGCCCTGTCTTTTGCACTGAGAATCGAGCATAGATTTCCATCGCAGTTTAGATTCAAGGACATCTCTCTTCTTAATTCTGTGCATCGACCAATTTCGTAGTCCATATCGATCTCTCTGCCTCGTCGATTTTTGCTGAACAAAAGTTCCAGGCTGTAAATAACGCTGACCAACTCCTCCTCCAGTTGAGGATCACAGGAAAACGAGACCATACCTGGCTCGCAACCGGGAGCGCCTGTTATAATTCATGAATAATCATGTGTTAATCAATCGTGGCCCGAATCTATAATATAATTCATCGAGAGTTGGAGGCGGTTGAGGTTTTCTATTTTTTTTCTTTCTTTTTTTTCTTTCCAATTCGACGATCGTGACGTAGAGGTTATATTTACATTAAGTAGTGTTTATGCATTGGAAAGAAAGGGATTTTGAATATTTTGTTATTTTGCTAATGCTGGATGTTGCAGTAAACATTTAATACATCAACTATTTAGTATCAATGTTTTTCAAATATTTGCAAAGAATTAAGCGAAAGCAAGGAAAATGTCAGAAGTAAAAATAGTAATAAATAGCGAGATATTTTATTCGTAATAAACGAGCATTTGAATTAACAGATGTAATAATACCATGAACCATATTTGTGAAAAATAATGAGAGAATCGAAATGTTGAGTTTTGTACTGATAATAAGTAACCTTGAGTGTCCTGCACAGTTTCCCAGCGAACCAACGCCTCTTGCAAAGGTTTGTATAGCTGTCGCCTGTTAGGACAGCACCAGTTGGCCACTTTCGCGTCTAATTGTACTCTGTCTTCGATACCTAGCTGGCTCCAACTTAGGAACAGCTGCTTCAGTCGCGGCACTGTCATAGAACCCCATCATAAATACGCATCTATGGCCAGTTTACAGTCATCAGTCACCGATATAGAATCAATATAGTTCATAAACGAAACATTGAAAATTCTGCCATGGAAAATAGCTATCATTTTAGAGAACTCCATTTATTCTGATAAATTCATAAGATAAAACGATTCGCTGAAACGTCATGGAGAGCCGTATTTCAAGAAAAATCCCTCGATCTTTTTTGCTTTTTCTTTTTCTCTTTTTTTTTTTTGTAGAAAATTGTGCACACACCTTCTGGTATCAGAACGAATATTGTGTCGCATATCTGCTCGAAAACAGACTCTTCCATCGATTCATTTTCCTCGTTCTCGTGGCTGGCGGTGATCGTGGATTTAGATTGCATCGCATATTTTCAGCCCCGAGGGAATTCCTGTCATTTTGTCGACGATGTACGAAGTCAAACGAGAAAAAAGACGAAACGTTAACACGCTTGCGGACAACTTCATTGGAAAACGATCGTTATCCTCTGGCCTTTAACACGTTCATTTGCTAATTGAGAGAACTTTATTATTAACGCTTATACGTTGGTGAATAATCCACGTAGGAAGCTTTTAATAATTATTGTTTCATCTCATGTTATATATCAATAAATAATTATTGGATAAAATGTTTTAAGCGGGAATTATTATCACATTACGATTATCTAACGGTGTATTGTTTATTAATTTTGTTTTTCTTCCAGCTTTTCGACATTATCTTTTTATTTTTGTATTCGCAGTTAGTTATAAATGTTTATTAAACTTTTACGAGATACTTTTTAGATTAAAGAATTATTTGTATTGAAAAAAACAGAAGATTGTAAAGGTATCTAATGAAACGCAGTGAGCAAACCAGTAAGATGATATTCAAACAATTTTTAGTGCTTAGAACAAATTGTAATATGGTTAATATCGTTTCAATGTATTGTAGTATTCTATTGTGTTTGTTCTATTGTATAATCTCAGACTCGAACCACGTGGTTCGTGCCCATTCTAAATTTAAATCCTTTTAATAATTTCACTATTTAACTCAATGTATGCACTTGCAAATTTAAAATGTACACATAATTCGAAAGAAATATTAAGAAAGAATATCGATTCCCCAATAACCTATTTTCCAATTTTTCAAATGAAAATTATTCCACTATTAAGGTAATTGTTTTGATTCGAGTTTCTCGGCTGCTTCCAAGATTCGAAGTATTTCAAGATGGAGGAACAAGAGTACCTCAGTTGTGAATTACAAGGAATTCTCGAGGAATTCGCGAGAATCAGAGACGTGTGACAAAGATTCATTTCTCTTCGTTCAATCTTTTAATTTATCGGTTTTCTAATTTTCTAAAAATCAACAGGCGTACCTTGCGTTGAAAGCTTATTGTGAAATGCAAGAGGAAGCTATGTCGATAGAAAAAGCACGTTCCGAGAGGTTACAGATGAATCTGGAGAAACTTTCCACAACTTATCTGCTTTTAGAAAATAGATATAAGTCTATCGTTGAAAAATTGCAGACTGAAAGGGACGATCTTCGTAAAACAAATGAAGAGCTGAAGGAACAGTGTGATCATTTGCGTCTGATTAATGCAGAAGATCGTGGTGGAAACAACAACCAAAGTAAAATGATTATTTCATTTATTTAGCAAAGTAAACAGCGATATGGTTATTTGTTTTACTTTATTTATATAACAAAGTAGGCAATAAATTGATAGTTGTATCGTTGTAAACGTAGTATGCAAATTGCAAGACGAACTGGAAGTTTTAAAAGCTCAATTAGTGATGCAGGAAGAGAAACACAACGAAAACGTCGCATTGTTAAAGCAGCAACACTTTGACGAACTACAGAGATATAAAATGTTGCTGCAGAACGGAAAACAGGCCTCCACATCTGTAATTTAATATTTTCTACTTGAAGAATGCTCCACGAAATTTGCAACTTTATTTACGAACCAAATGTTTCTTTCCCTTTTTTTTTTTTTTTTTCTTCGAATCAGAGAGAATCTAAAAAGAGAGAACGTCCAAAGAATTTGGGAAAGAATAAAAATAAGGTGTCTTTCTTTAGGTATTGCTACGAGCTTTCAGTTTTAACTATATATCTATTTTATTCTTATAACTTTGGAATTGTTTTAATTTGTTCTATTACATTTCATAATTCGTAATTTATGTATACATTTATAATATTAATTTTTCTATTGATCTTAAATTTTCAAAATTTGCAATCAACTTGCAAGGAAATTTTATTTCCATCTTCTTGCTATATTTTTGTAATATTCAAATTTTCTCAACTTTCTTTATTAAGTGTTATATTCATAACATTAAATTCGTGTGACTTTACGTTCCTGATGATATCAACTATAGATGGCCGGAATTGGACATAGAAACAATCAATAGCGTGCCATTGGAGGCGCGCAACGACAATGAAGCTGCAAATAGAAACTGTGCTACGAAGAAGAGGAAATTATTTCACGAAGACAGAGACACTATAATAGACATTCCTTAAAATGGGTATTTAGCATTTATTATTTCTCATACGAGACGCAACTATACTACGACTCATATAAAATAGATTAATTTACTGTATTTATAGTAAATGAAAAGTTAGCTTCTGATTTTCGTATACTCGAGTAAATTAAACTATGAATAATTTTTGGTTCGATTTTAAGTTTCTTAAATCGTACATACTTGTAGTATATTACATAAATAATTGGCGATATCACTAAGTATCAATATATTAGTATATCTGAAGAATAATTTAATGCTTTCTTTGAAAAGAAAAATCTTATTGGCAATTATTTTCGGATTTTTCGATTCAAAGAATTCCAGCTGTTCGTGTAATCGATTTTTAGATGTCCATATGTGTTTAGGTCCAAATGAGGTGGTGGAATAATTTCTACCATGTATTTCTCTTGTTCCATCGATGTGTATTCTTGCTGAGAACGATAATCTGGCATATCTGTGAAAACAAATTAATAAGAAATGAAATAATCTAGATACGGAAAATTGCAGTATTCCAGATTATAAATGAAACATTTTAATAAAACCAATTATAAATTTTGATCGGGATTTGTTTCGTAATTCATAGATAAAACTTTGTATTTTTCTTTTCTTCAACGGCATCGGTTTCATTGATATACCTGATACACATCTCTAAATCACGAAGAGCTATGATCATTGAAATTGCTTACCTAATTCTATAGAATCCATTGGCGGAAGGTTAGCGTCGACGCTCATAGATCTACAAAAATAAAGAAAATCACATATGGATCTCTAAAAACGAACAGAAATAAAACTCACCGAACAATCGTTTATTAACATAAGAATCATTTATAACAGCTAGACTACGTGTCTTTATAAAGACAATTAAAGAAATGAAAATTCGACTAAGAATTTCAGTTATTAGGTATTACAGCGATTATTCTAATCTGGATATGTTACATAGTTTTACGTATTATGTATATTTTGTAAGTTCCTTAAATTTTCCATAAGTGTACAAAACTGATAATAATTCGAATACCTATGAAGCTCTCTCATAGACGTAGACTTGTATTTGTGTCCAAATCGCCTATGGTCTTCCATGAATTCACCGTGTCTCGCTTCTGAAACGACATTAAAGACCACTTGAAAAAAGTCTTATAAATGTTTTGAAATCGATTACATGGACGTGTTCTCGTTTAATAAACTTGACGTTAGACCGGGTGCGGAGGAACGTGCGGATTCGACGCCTACCGACGCGACGCCTTCCTCTGCGTTTTCTCGTATCGAGGCTCGCGAGATTCGGAACGAGGACATGGAAATCGTTCGCGATGACACGTATAATTTCGTTTAGATACTTTCTGACGCACTCGCACGACAGTCAGAACAAACTTCTCTTGCAATTTCTGTTTCCTTTTTCTAAGTCGGCTAATAAAGACAATTTGAGGTAAAAGGAGAATTTCTTGTCTATGTGTGTTTCAATGGGACATTGTATTGATGATGGTACGGTATGGGAATGGCGTTGACAACTGATACTGATTTAGGAGGTAGAAGAATTACTTAGAAAGCGAAAATGTTTGTAGAGTATCTGCCCCCATGCGTCTACCTGGCCTGAAAGATATACAATCAATTTTTTATAATGATAAACCCAGAAGATGATAACAAAAAAAAAAAAAAAATAGAAAAATAACAGTGGGTAACAATGATTTACACCATTATGATTGTCATTGTCAGTGCTCTATACATACACAGAATCTATTTAGTCGCATGTGAAAGCAGAGAGGCAATCGAAAGCCGCAGAAAAATAATTGCGTGTCGAAATCGTGCGAGGATGCGACACTAGCGCCGCGTGTCACGATTTATCATTGCGATTGGGACTTTCTAGGGCACGATAGAAATTGTGACGTGTGCACCTATGAAAATACGACGCATATCGAAACGTGTTTGCTGTAGCGCTTTTGTATTATCGCAAATAATTGTTCTTTGCATAATCGCTTCGTTCCAATTACCTTTATCACTCGCAAAATGTTTGAGATAAAATTTGCTGGTCAATAAGCGGCAATACGCAACGTCGAACACGTATAACGAGCATACAGTATATTTTCACGTGCGCGTTGTGTATGGTCGAGATTTTAATCAACACAGACGATTGGGTCGATTGCTTATATTTGCATAGAAATTACACATCTGCCAAATATGTGTACGCGTATGTAATTTAACTCACATGTACAATTCCGAATATTTCTTCTCGTATTGTACGTGATGAATTTGCAGTTCATAAATTCTGTATTTTCGATGCGTTTCTGTTATATCATACACGAAACACCTCGAACAAAGCAAAGATTTCACGCGATACAACTTTCGATTAGAAAATTTACGACTGCCTCTTACTACGCGCAATCAGTCATAATCAATTCTATTTCTAGCAGTCGCTTTCAAGACACACCCAACAGGTGCAAACATTCGAACTGCCACAGCCACTTACGAGTATCAAAAGGCCACAGCAGAAAAAGATTTATTACGATATTAAATTGAACGTTATGAATGAAAAAAATAGCTGGTTTCCTAACTTTGAATAATAAACTCAACGATAATTGACATGACTGACATAACCTAAAAATGTCGTTTCTTAAAATACTGTAAACAGGTATTTTAAAATAGATTACGAGTATTAGGATTAAAAAAGAAAGAAGAAATGGACACGCACCGGTTAAGGAGGAAGAAACGGTTGGTTTGTTGCCATCGGCAAGGTCCAGTTCACCGTAACACGACCATTAATGGGATTCCTGAACCGGACCCGAAACGGAAATCTGTTCCTTGATCAAACGCATTGGTACGTGCAGAGCCGATACAACGCGCCAATTGCATAATCTCTTTGAATCGTAACCAGTTCACTGCGTGCAGGAATATCAATTATCGGACAGAGAAAACGCGCTTCGCCACGACTTGTGGTTTTCGACCAGGCGAATTATGGTTTCACTTGATAATAGTCAGGTACAGTTTTGATTACGTATTCTGTTTAATTACGTACTCTATTCCTGCAGGAAAAAATTTAGGATACACATAAACATACATGTAACAGGATACGCGTATATATTACACATGGTGTTGTTAAAAATTGTTCATCTTATTAAGGAATTATATTCATTATATTAAATATATAATATATATTTGATATAATGGATATTTAGTAGAATGATTCTGGTATAAATGTATATTCTCCGTATTTATTAGTTTTTATTTTTCCAGGCAGTATGTATTGGAGAAAGAATTGGAAATCAAAATTTGAATTGCAACATGTCAGATCAGCGTAGAATTTCAGGACGCGGAAATTTGATTTTAAAAACGTCCGAGCTCTGCATTAAAACTGATTAAAAGTTTACCTCGTAAAATCGTTAACAATTTTTCTGCTTTAATTGGAGAAATATAACAGAGATATAATAAATGGCGTGGAGATATTTCTCGGATAAACTCGGAAATCGGGTCAGGAGAAATCTGCAGGAAATAATGATATGGATCGTATGGTTCACTTGCTACGTCGTTCATCTATTTAGTCGATTCTAAAGTTAACAGCAAAAAATTGAGAGAGTTTTAATGAATGTGTATTCAGATGAGTTTCTTCCTGTGAGACATCCTTCCTTGTATAAACTCTTTATGAGGAAAAAGGAACGCTGTAGCCGGAAAATGCAATAGGCTGAATACGAACTGTGTGAAAGCAAGTGAAAATCAGTAGGTATCACGGTTTTCTGATCAGGAATATCGGGTCAGTATAATTATAGACTTGCTTACAGACCTAGAACTTCCGTTTTCAAGGTCCAGATCAGAGTAGAATGTATGTTGCGCATGGTTCTTCAGTGGTTTCATTCTGATTCAGTTTTGATATTGGATATTCTCATTGTTTAGAATATTAGAATGTTATATAAGAGTGTTAATTGCAGAATACAACGTGCCTCCGTGTAAAGTACAAAAGAATCTAAACGTTCACAGATCATAGATTGTTAAAAGTGACTTAACGTCTAGTCTATCTTTGAGACGTATCAATTTTCTAATTATATAATCATATAACTTGATGTTCTACAATAGAGCTGTATCAGATAGATAATTACTAGACGGTTCTCTGATACGATCTGATTGGTACAAAGCCAACCTATCAAAGAGAATTATCTATCAGAGAACTGAACTGGTTACCAGATCACTGTGCCTCATAAAATTCGTATCAAAGTGAATCATCGAATAAAATGAACCATTTGATAGATAAGTGATCGCTAAATGAAAGTATAGAAATTAAATTAGGTGTAGAACTTATTCAAAGATAAGTAGCTCTGTCACACACTAAAGCTCTGACAATCTGAAGATATAGCAAGCAAACTGGGCTAAAAATTATTTAGTACAAACCAACTAAATGAAATAGTTACTAGGAATCGACGCGTTGAAGTCGATAACGAAATTATAAATACAAGACTGGGTACAAAAGTTCACGAGAAAATTATAAGCTTTTGTGTCATAGTGAACCATTTTTATGGATCAAAGACTGTTCGACCATAGTATCGGTATAGACCACAGTATACCACTAACGAGTAGTAGTTCAATTACTTATTGTTAGTCTGTCAAAATACTATCAAAGAAAGTTATCATAATGTTATCAAAGAAAGCTATCAAAGAACTACATACATGTGTACATCTAGATGAAGCGAGTTCTAGTTTTCCTTCTGAAAACACTTTCTGTTGTTTCCGTGTTTAATTCACTGTAGAGGCCTCGATTTGATGGGTGGCAAGGACTGTCAGGGAAAAAGCAATTAATCTTACCGGAGAGAGGCGCGTAGACCGGAAAAGGGGCGACGTAATCCGGTACTTCGTCCTCGTAGATTGGCTGATGATAGTAGCAACTATTGTTCGTGAGTCTGGCTGGTCCACAATACAATTCTTCCACGAAAGCAGGCGCGTCGTAGCCAGGTTCTCTCACCGACGACGAGTACCTGCAACGTTCGTCAGCTACTTTTGCCATTCGCACGCTAAATTTTTATTTTCTTCTTTTTTTTATCTCAAGGCTAAAAATATACCGTCATTAAAGATTTCTGGTGGTTCTAGCGTTTTTTTTTGCCAGTGTTAAACTTATTGCCAAGACAAACGCTCATGGTTCATACAAAGGTTCATGGATCATACAGTAAATACAGATAATAATGATCAGGCAATGGGTCATTGTAAAAAACAAGAACTGTCGAATAATTCGCTGGAAATTTTTTTTGTTACTGATCGACTAAAATTTTACCGTGAAGTACTAACGACTAAATTATAACATTTTACGCAAGGCGCTCTCTTAACTTTTTTGCTCTACGCCACTTTCATTTTCAGTCTCGTACGACCCTATAATTGCATCGAATGACGATGATACATGTCCGAGAGACAACGTGCTAAAGTCGAATCGTGTAATTAAACATCTATGGTTAATATACATCGACGATTACAATACATCAATTATGCTTAATATATGAAGAACACGGGGACTTTGATTTTTAGGTTATCTTCCAATATACAGGCAGTTTCATTTCTCCAATTGCAAATTTGCAACGAATTCTTTCGTTAGACTATTATTTCGGGTGATAGCTCATAACACGCGATCGATGTATCAAGAAGATGAATATTCCTTAAAAGTAGCTTTTTTAAGTTAGCAGTAACGTAACGAGCGAATCTCTTCAAAACTACCGACAACGATGAAATACCTAGCGTATAGGAATAACGAAGATGTCTGAGAATAAAAATGAATAAAAATAACCAGTAGACTGGCGTAGACCTCCGAAACATCGAATTTTCGTTCTATAACATAGATAAACCTGTCGGTTAAATTGAAAAAAGATTCGAAAGGTAATTAAAACAGATTTATAGATCAAAAAGTGAAACGCCCTGTGCAATTATTCTCTGTATCTAGTTACACAGTAGTTATGAGACAGTTGTGCCATAAATCGACAGAACAAACTGAGAAATTGCCTTTTTAAGGCAGGCCATAGCTCTTGCCAGCGGCAATCTCTGTTCGAAATGTTCTCTACGCCGTTTTTTCGCTGAATTGCAGGCAACGCGAAACCACTTGAGGGATTTCGCCTTTCACTAAACGCGATCCGAATGATCGATTTAAACAGCGTTACGGGGTTCAATGTACCACGTTCCATCGCTAATGGACGGCTATTACGATTAAAGGAAGTGTCCCTTTCCGGCAATTAAATGCCATTGTAATTGCGTCTCGTGATCGTTCGAACGTCTGGTTGCGCAATTTTTTACGCGTGTATCTTTTCCCTTTTCTCTTTGTCTCTTTAGAAATAAGGTAACTTTTCGCACGTGTTGAAAATATTACTAGTTGTTTAATAAATACGAAAGTACCTTCGTCTAATCGTGTTGCTTCTAACAGAAAAGTCTCTGTATCGTGTTGTAATGTTTATTTTACTAGACGAGAACTACCCTTTGCTTTCTATCTTCGAATTTTTCTGTCCAGATATTCGTACTTAGAAACATTATGATCGCGTCAAGCATTTTCGAGAATCTTGTTCTACGTTTGCTTACGGTGCTTTAATTACTAGTTTGCTTTAATTACTAAAAAAAAAAAAAAAAAAACATACGGATAATGAACATTTCAATCGTACAATTATTCGCCTAATTCTAAATAACCTCACTTTTCTTTGGATTAGCTAATCCATTCAATGATTATCCATTCAATTTTAAGGTTATGTTTCGTTTCCTTCATTATTCGTATCCCTTTCAAATGTCGAAAGCATAAAAGTGTTCGCGTGGCTATAAAGAACAATTGCTTTCGAAAATCATGTTACCCCCTATCGCGCAAAAGTGTGCTAAGTTTAATAAGTACTATCATACGAGAGCAATGCTCAAGAACACAGCGCCCTACTTTGCACCCACTGATATAATCTGTCTCGAGCAGATTCCAGCTTATGAAAAATATATTTGGTTAAACAGACTGTGAACGAAAAGAAGGTAAAAGAAAGAAGAACAATATCAGGCTCGCAAACGAAGTATTATATGGTCCTTTACGCAATTCCCTGGAAAGATGGATTATCAGGAGTGTTATACTAAACAGCAAGCATGATTTATTTGCGAGCGTTCTGTTGAAGGAATTCAATGGTTTACGCCACTCTCAGCAATCTACCGTATATCGTTGTGATTTTTTCTTTATTTTTTAATCTGTCGATCTTTTAAGTTGTCTAATCAGTTCTAATAACTAAAATTACACGTTCGTTTGATCGACACGTGTTTATTCTGATCAAATTTCAAGTGCCAGATGTTTATTACACTGAAACGACTAATGTTGCTGCTCGATTAACGGCATTCATCGGTTTCAAGCACTCAGGATTAATTAACATTCCCAGTTCCACATGGGTGTAACGATACAAACATTCTCGAATTGCATAGTAAATTAGAACACAGGGGGAACGTAGATAGATGTGTCGTAATTGGAAAGCGAGCGATACCAATCATCGTATCTGTTCCGTGTTTAGAGAATTGTCCTTGTTAGAGAAACGTAATTTTGAGAATGGAAGATTAATTCGAAGAGGTTATAAATCATTCCATGGAAAGGTTAAGGTTGCTGTAATTTTATTCCTCGGTTATCTCCAATTTTATCCTCGATTTTATTTTTTCTAGGAAATAAAAATTAATACTAAGGAGAATCTTTAATTTTATCAGAAGATTTAAGATTTAAATTCTACGTATGTAGTTCCACATTTATTCGATTTTTCAATTTCTGCTTTTTCTTTGATGTGAAGATTCACGGTCTCTTATGGGTCAGATATGGGTAATTTTCATTATCAGATTGGCCAACGTTGTAGCCACGCGGAAAGCATGGGTTCTCGTCCGGTTGCCCAAGCTACACTGCGTTGGGTATGGTAAGTGTTTAGACGAATGACGCTTAAGCACTTTGCGTGTGCTGTTGGAAGTAAAGAGGGAAGCAGCAGATTAGTTGAAACAGCGGTGATTGTCCAATTTTCCGATTAGAATGTATACCTTGTTGCATGATCTTCGATCTTCTAAATATAATTCTGATACTTTGATTATAAACCAAATGATCCTATTATCAATCAACTAATTTAAATCCTTCTCTCTGCAAGACGAATATTACACAACGATCATAAGACGAAAGTGCTATACTTGATCGGTAAAAAACTCTCTTTAACATGATCGGAAAAAACCCTCTTTAACATGATCGGAAAAGACTTTCTTTAACATGATCGGGAAAGTGACCATAAATTCCATCGCCCTAACGAGGTTAATGAGAACGTTATCAGATTGTTCTTGAAATTTGTTCACCACCACTCACCAGTATTCAGATTGAGCAGGGGTTGCCTCTTGGGATAACCGATAGGTGGGTCGACGATGATGTAGCGGCATCTGTTGCGCCAGATTGGCGACACTATGTCGACGTAGGTACACATAATTCTCCAAATCCCACGGGTCGACATAGTGTCTGCTGGCACTTCCAGAGCTGTATGCATCCCCGGAGCTACCAACGGAAGTAGAACGCTGAGAACCGATCGAATCCCAATATATTGACGACTCTACCGGCATTCTTATCTTTTGCTTTCTTCCTTTCAGTTTCTTCAGTATTTTGTCTTTGTATTTGAACAGAATTTTCGGTGGTATATGTGGAGAAATTCTGGCTTCTTCTTTTCGGCCTGTATCTCGGCCAGTCTGTACTTTGTCCTTATTATTAAACGAGAAAGAATTTTGGATAGGAATTTTTGAAGAAGTCGCTGTGTTTAGTTTTCGCTATTCAATGGAATTTTCTAGGGTAATTTTGAACACTCTCTTTATTCAGATAGTCGTTACTACGTGATACTGTAGACCGAGAAAAAGAACAGAATCTACAGATTGGAAAAATCCAGGGTTGAGTGAAAAATCAGCTACATGAAATTTGAATTTAATAGAAGAACTCGTTCATTCTAAAGATGCAGAATTAGACTCCGTCAATTTAAATGAAAACAGTGGAATACTCGATCCTTCTAGATCCAAATATCATTTATGTTATTACACATCGATTATATATCGATTATCTATTTAATCTATTTTTAAGTTAACTTTAAGATTGTAATACGTAATAGACAATATAATCGCCTAATTAGTCAATAATTGATCAAAATACTTAAGACATGAGAAAGCTAAAATAAGTTATACACTTTTGAAATAGGAAGGAAAGAACCTGTCAGTCACACGAAAACACCATAAAACTACACACTTGGCGGTCTCGAAGGTTTAACTTCTGTTCGTTCGCGTCGTGTTCGTAACGATATCGAGATTATCCGTTTCCGGTCGGTCGAGGAGACGCATTGTGCGCGGCACGAGCACGATTTCGCTTCTGGATCCGTTCGACTCCTCCTACTCCTCTTCTACTACCGACAGCTAGCTCTCTTCGAATACAAGTGAAACCAAAGACTTTCACGCCTGCGCTACCCCACCTTCTTCTGAACCTGTTGCATCGCCTCGTTGCACCTGTAATCGTACGTACGATTGGGTTTTTCGTCTACTCGAGATTGTGATAGTGGTGTTTTTGGACCACGTAAGCTTCACGTTTTATACGATACATTTTCCAATAGTCTTCCTTACTAAAGCAAGCGTTATATTTCGTAAGATTTCTTCCAATATAATAAGCTCTTCTCTACTATTCTTTTTTTCTTTTGTTTTATGAATGAATTGCATAGAATTTGAATAATCTATCTCAAGGAGCAGATGAAACGATTATGAAAATTTCAAGACGTTTTCATGCAATTCCTAAAATGGAAGTTGATGATAACGAAAAAACTAATGGAATAATTCATTCGTGATTAATTAATGTAATAATTATTTGAATATCTGTAAATTTTTCCATTAAAGTTTCCAAAAAGGCACAGCCGTAAATCAATCAAAACTTGAACAAGCTACATTCACTGAATGTCGCTTCTGAAACGTATCCAAACGAAAGAACCATCGAGACGACGTTCTTGCAGTGGCTCGTTATTTCTTTGAGCGGCAATTTCAACTTCCCATGCGTGCCACATGATTACGCAATAAACTTTCATCAGCCTTTTCAAGAAACGATCGTCAACGCGGTTTAATTACACGTACGAAGTACACGTGAACAGATACCTGTTGCTTGATACCTCAGGCGGGTCAATTAAATCGTGCTACCGGCATGATTCTAGGAAAAACATGGCGTTCACGTAGAATTAACATGATTGAGGAGGAATTATGTAATTACACGATCGTAGAATTGAACATGTAAGACTATCGTAATAAAATACAATATTTCATCAAGCTTGACTAATTATAGATAATCTGAGCTAGTTTTATTGAGTTCGTTGTACTTTGTTCTCACGATTTAGGTTAGGTTTGGCGGGAAATTAATATGGCGGCGTCGATAGAGTTGTAGGCATTGTTTGCGAGCATGTATACTGTTTGTTCATGATTATGATGTGAAGAGATTTAAAGAGATTTAAAGACACGTACGATTTTTAATGTAACCAATAACTTTTAAGTTTTTAAACCACCGTGATACGATACACAAATATCGTTTCATGTATTATTCATCGTCATCAAAGTAATCTTCGTAAAATATCGCACTTCAATCTCACTCTCTTTCTGAATATTTTTGAAAATTTATTTTGAGCACTTCTGTTCTCATAGGCATTTAAAAGTGTGGATATTTTTGCGAACGATGCCTGTAAAGTCTATAACACGCGTTAATAAGAGAAAACGGTCAAGGAAAATAAAGAAAGTGACGATAAAATCAGTATACAAAATATAATTAATCGATACATTTAATACAATCGAAGGTTCAATCAATCACAAGGCAGCTGTAAAACGTAATAACGCTATGATCACAAATGAACATTAGTGGGTACTAGATAAAAATTAATTAGAATTACAAAGTCGAACTGAAGGTTCTTTCGATAATCACAAATAAATAATCAAGGGAAATAGATTTCTTCGATTTTTTTGTCGGTCAGCTGATACATTTTGTCTCTTCAGGGACATTGGTGCATATATCTAAGTTCGTTTTAAAAATTCAATTACGATTTCAAAAATTACTATGGACGTTATTTTGAATAAGTACTCTTGACTGTATAAAGCCCCTTTATTTTATTGGCTATATGTCACTGCTATCGACGAACAATAAAAAAGACACAAAACTGAACAACTTTAAGTAAAAATTCTTCTTTAGAAAAATAAAAATAAATCATCTTTATCTGCCCTTAACAGATTCGTCCCTGAAGAGCTGTACCATGATGGCGTCCATAACAAAATACTCTTGTTTTCCGCCCAAACTCGCGAACATTCACCAGGTTCCGGTCTATCGAAAACTGAAACTGGTAGAAAGCCGGAATCATCCTCTACTTTCCTTGATGCGTTCAACCGAACACCGACAATTTCCGTCTTCGTTCCTTTTTCGATCAGCCATCTTCCTGTTTCAACGTAAAAGTCCATAAATCGATAGCACTCGGACGATTTTTTTAATTAAAACATTAATCTGTCACGATTAAGTGGGAAGAGCAGAATTTCTGAATATTTATGTCTTAAATCCTCAAAATTCTGACGTAACTCTGTACTTTCATAGGTTAGATTCGTTCGGAAGATTCCTCCATTATTGTGTGTATGTGGCGTTTAAAATGTCTGCGTAGCCCGATGATATTTATGGAGAAATCTAGGCAAGCTTAAAGACGGTGAGAAATATCAGATAGTCATTATAGTAACATTGATATTGAACAACTATAGTGGTGAGTTGTTTGGAAAGTTTCATTGCGTTCTTTCAAGCTTAAGATAAATTTGAATAAATTCTAGTTGGAGTTTATATTTGATAATTAACTCCTTGCCTGATCATCTTTTCGTAGTATTTGGTCATAAGAGGGACAATGCTTCATCAAGGTGGCACCAGGGTTTTAGGCGAGGCAATTTGATTCACTACTAATTGCATGAAATTCGATCTATGAAATTTGATCTGGTCTTTGCTTTTCGCTGTCTGCTAAAAGAATTCATGTTAGGAGAAGAGGAGAGAGAGAGAGAGTCTTTCGAAACATGACTGGTTAAGTCAGTAGGCAGCGAAGAATTTTTGAAAGAAAACTTATCTATCGATTAGTCGATTAAATTTTACATTTTTAAATTTTGAAACTTTTTTAAACTTTTCCACACACTTCCCAAACAACGTTCAATAATAGTCAGAGTGGTAAAATATATAACAATAACTTTCTAGATTAAAGGCTCGTTAGTTAGAAATCTCCTCATCCACGAATCATTTAGATCCTATGAATCCATAGAAATCCTATAAACCCTAAAAACCCTAAAAACCCATCAGAAGGTTTAAGGTTAGGTAGTATATATTTCCCTAACTTCAATTATGTGATCCATTAACATTAATTAACCATGATATATTGACCATGTAAATGAAGGAAATCCTGGATCTCAGGTCATTTACGTTTTATTGGCGATGTATCGAACATTTTTTTCGATCCATAACGGCAGCCATGACACACACAAGCGTCTGCGTACATTTTAGGAAACATTGGATTAAAGTAGGTTAGGAGTCGGACATTGGATTTCAAGAAATTAATTAGAGAGCGTATCTCGCATGATTTTTCAAACACGAGTTATCTCATTTCGACTGAACTTTCGGTATCGCAATGGAATCGCGCGCTTTTGTATTTTCCCGCGCGCTCTGTGCACACCATAATCGAACTATATCGAAATGTCAGTCGATCAGGTAAGATGAGTTCGTGGAATGGAAATGGGAAACTCTGTCAGTGTCCTATTTTTATAGTTTCCTCGTTTACTATTTTTCTATTTTCTTAAAAACGGGTTGACTTAGAAAAATAATGACTTTTTAGGTTAAATTTGGAAAATAGGGATTTGCTGGCTTTTGTCCTATGACAATCACAGTGTTTCCCGTTTTCATTGTACAATTTGTTTCTGTACAGAAAGGAATTTTCATAAATGTATAATAGTTTCTTAAATTATACACTTTAGATTAGGGATAGACCCTATTTTAACATTTTCGGCGATTAAAAATTCTTGATAAAACATTCATATATCGATGAAACTCTTTAACACGAAATTGGAACGAACAACGACACTTTCGAATTTCTATTAAATCTAAAGTAAATCGAAGAATATTAAATCTAGCATCAAGTTCGATCAAATTGTAATTTTAAACAAAAGAAATCTGTTATTCTTAAAAACTTATTTGACCAGTAATCGATAACCAGTTTCGATTTATTAAAAATGTAATGCAAAGACCAATATGAAAAGAAGCTACCAAATATGTAACTCCTTTCTGCACAGAAGAATACAGCGGTAGTGAAAGTTAGGAGAAACGATCAAGCACACGTCCCAATTACACTCGAACGTCTTTTGAACTAATTGACCTCGCATTGGTCAGAAAAAGAAGAAAAAGGGAAAAAGGAATCGTATAATATTAACTCAGTCGCTAGAAATGGCTATGTACACTTCTCGTATTTGACGAGTATAACCTAGTCGGTATATCGCTAATTCTAAATAAGGACAACAAATCTTTCTCGTTCTCTCTCATTTTCTTTCTATTTCTGAACGCTAGAGCCTTTAGTAATGCATATCACAGTTACGAAAATTCAACACTTCTCGCTACTTGGCAATCTCTTTCCCCCCTGTATGCAGTATCAAATCGTTTTTATACACATGTACATTTACAGTAGCTCATCAAAATATTCCATCGCACGTAGAAATCTTGCTATATATATTATGTACACATTATGCGTCATATATGAAAGATTTTGAAATTTCATTAGCATCGTAACGAGACAGGAAATTGGTTTCAAAATCATCACGAACTTGACCAACATAACCACGATTTCTCATTATAATGCTAATAAAATTTCAAAATTATTCAGGGTGAGACGCAAACATAGTACAATCGAGCAGGGGGTGATTCTACATGAAAAAATAAGTCGAAAATATAGAATGCAATTTTTTCATGGGATGCCTCGTTTCCGAAAAAATAATGTTTGAATACGTTTACTTGCAAACGAATTGGTCTGGCGTGTACGCGAGCACGCCTGACACATTTTCTAATTTATTTTTCTCAGAAATGCAGTTTCCTGTGAGAACAATTCTTCGTTTCTGTCTTATTTTCAAATGCAATTTAAAGCCCGATAAATGTCGATTATTTAGCCTTGTTCAGACCGGAATTAAATCTACTTACCAAATTGTCAAACTCGATTCTCTCGAAAAAGAAAATTGAAAAAGTGTTATCCCGAGATTTTTCCTTATTTCTTTCACCCCTTAGAATGACCCCTTGCCCGATTCTACTATGATTACCTAACCCCAACCTAAACCCAACCTAACCGTCGCACCCCCTGTATAGCATATATAATATATATATATCAAAGTTTTCTACGATAGGTATGCAAACACTTTCGTGAGTCACTGTATTTCTATCGGACTCGAACGCTTTCGTCAGCCACGATTGCATTGCTTTTACTCGACAACCATGTGTGTACGTTTAAGGCTAGAACTATGCCAGATCGGAGACAGTTTTTGCTTCAACTGGCGGCTAAGCTGGCTTTGTGTGTCGATCATGCAATTCGAATTGACAGCACGTTGCTTGCACAGAATTGTGCCCCTCAGGAATTCTCTATGTGCTTCTGGTTTTGGTCAGTTGGACCCGAAGCTCTTTGCAATGATAATTGGTCCTTGCTAAACTCTTAAAACTTGTTATACAGTAGAATCTTCATTTGTTCAAACGTATAAAATAATATTAACACGATGACGATTAGTGGAGCGACACTAGCGCCGCGAGAGCGTCAACTTCATTTTACTTAATTTTAGAGTTTGCCACGTTTTAATCCGTATATCGTGTTTCACGTACAAAGATCACGACTGAGCCATTCTCAGGAGATCACATTCGTTAACTTCGTAAATTGAAATGTACAGATAAGCGTCCATGTTTAAATTTATCTTAGAATTGACTCTTATTTATACAATTTTCTTGCAATGCAAATCTACAAAAACTTGTGGTTGATTAATTGGCGGACCAAACGAACCAGTTAATAAATTATGGTACAAGAAGGGAATTATGCCATGTTTGAACGACAGAAACCAAAGTATAATTCGTGAAATTATTTTAAATGAAATTATTGTGCAAGAATTACCAAGCTAAAATTCTTTTTTTCTAACAGAATGATTTAATCGTTCTTGCGACAAATGAATTTCTCGTCTAGTCATCGATGACACCGTCAATTGCAATTTCTCTGCGATTTCCTCGTGGAATTCGACCATAAAAAGTCAGGCGCTTACAAGCACTTTCACAGTGATACTGTCATAACTATTCATGAAACAGCAGAAGAAGAGTTCCCATTTTTTCACGGAATTGACAGAGCTTATATGGAACACACATGGCTTTTCTCTGAGATTTACTTCCGGTCAAAAATCTATTTGCACACAAACATTTGTCGATGAGAAGAGCTTCAGATTCCAACTGAAATGGTCGAATATAGTAACCGTTTAATTCTTATGACCACTTTATTCATTTATGGTGCAAATATAGGGAGATGTGTTTGTGTTTGTTCTTTGAGGAATGTTTATGCAAATTACACAGGTAAATATTTAAATTCCAATTGTTCGTGCAAATAATTTTCTTTACATTGATAGATCTTGTCTAAATTCAATTTAGTTTAATTTGTAATTATCAGTTAGTATAAAAATTGAAGAAACATTTTATGATTCTAGTGCTTTGAGAGAAGTGGAGATTGGTTTAAAAATATCTTAATTTAGATTGCAGCTTTCTAAAATTATTTTTTCTTTGTTTCAGTTAATACTTTAACTGCTGTAACGAATATCTAACTCACTTTTGATATTCTCTATATTTTTTCATATCAGATACAGCGTGTGAGTTTTTCAATTTTCTATAAATGCATAAACATTCACGATCTTAGGAAGACTCTCTTTATGAATAAAGATACAAATCTTTTTACTAGCTTCACTAATTAAATCCTCTTAAAAATACAGGATTTATTAGAATACTTTATTTATTCAAAATATGGAAGAATACTTTCATGGCATGAAAATTACACCATAAATGAATAACATGTCCATAAATTCAGTGAACCTTTTTTATACAAACAATGAATACGTTTACATAAAAAGAATCTTGAGTATTCTAACATAAAGAGTATCGATTTATATAATACTTCAAAAATTAATGAAATTTCCCTTCTTTGCGAAAATTACTCATTTAAAAAATCACTGTTGAACGATACTTTTGCAGAATAAAATAAACAATATATAAATGGTATATATACTTTCTGTTTGATAAGAAGCACATATCCTAAAAACTATGTGACTCGAACATTCTCAAAAGAAAAAAAAAAAAAAAAAGAAGAAAAAGCAGAAGGAAAGAAACTTACTTTCATCCCCAGCCATCCTTCTTGTCGTAAAGCATTCTGCGTGGATGTTGCAGTTACACGCTGGCCCAACAGTAACAATTTTATTTTCTACTTTCGGAGACACGATTCGCTACGGTAGCTCACGCAATTTTTCTTTATTTCTTTTCTAATTTCTGGAATGCAACTTGTGCTCCTTCATTTTTACCAAATTGTAAAATAAGAGGGGAGTGAAAATAAAAGAGAAAAGAAGTAGAAAAATATCAATACTCATTCCCTTCACGGAAATTATTTTATAATCTTTCGTAGAGCCTCGAAAAATTTTAAATATCCTATCTATCTCATAATTATAAAACCAGCCCGAAGATGTTCATATTATTTCTGTTTCATATAATATTTCTACAAATTCATATTTTCATAAAAATAATTTTGAAAGTAGGATTCCGCTAGAAAATTGTATTTTTTCTATTAAATAATACAAAGGGTACGAATTAATAATAAAAAGGAGTAATAAAGATAGTAAACGGTTTAATATTACAAAATGTGAATTTATAGAATTTGGAATATTAGGGTGGCTTTACGTTTATGAGACGCGGTATCATAGTCTTATGAAGATGTCTTTTTCAGGAGACAATTAATTATTCTCGGAGCCCGTAGCCTCGTTTTACGCATTGTATGGCTATCGTTTATAAATACATATACCTATATTTACTGCTATAGTTACTTTACAATATCTTCAATAAGAGCGCACTCTTAATATCTGGCTTCATTTGACCTGATCTAACAAAAGGGAAGCCGCTAAATCTACATCGTATTCAGTCTGCTTCAGAGCACCCTCGCACTGTTGTCGATCTGCCAAGCCCAATCTGAAATTACAATAATTGATCGCGTCATTTTCCGAACGTTCAGCTTCATTGCACAATTTGAAAACCCATGATATTTTGTCCCAATAAGTTACTGAAAGATCGTTGATCCATTAATATACAAATTTTATCCAAAGAGGGGTTTTTGATTAATTTATGTAATTGAACTTATTAGCATTATGGCTATGAGAAGAAATCCGAAGGTTTTACAGCACAATGATAAAGGATTTCCTTGCCCACGGTAATCTTCTTTATGAAATTGACATAAGCTATATTTATTTTGTGTCACTGAGTGGTCCTTAATGGATTAACTGAAATAGTATGATACAGGGTGATTGGTAACTGGTGGTACAAGCGAAAAGGGGGTGATTCCAGGCGAAAAAAGAAGTCGAAAATATAGAATAACAATTTTTCGTTCGAGGCTTTGTTTTCGAGAAAATCGACGTTGAATTTTCGCTCGGTACGCGTGCACTTTATCGCGTTTCGTTATAACGGATCTCACTCCTTTTTTCGCGTAGAATCACCCCCTGTATATTATATTACACAGTCGAAAATATAGAATAAAAACTTTTTTTAATTTTTCCATCGAGATAACGATCTACAGCGAGATCCGTTATAACGAGACGCGATAAAGTGCGCGCGTACCGAGCGAAAATTCAAAGTCGATTTTATCGAAAACAAAGCCTCAAACGAAAAACTGTGATTCTATATTTTCGACTTCTTTTTTCGCGTGAATCACCCCCTGTATATTATATTACACAGTCGAAAATATAGAATAAAAACTTTTTTTAATTTTTCCATCGAGATAACGATCTACAGCGAGATCCGTTATAACGAGACGCGATAAAGTGCGCGCGTACCGAGCGAAAATTCAAAGTCGATTTTCTCGAAAACAAAGCCTCGAACGAAAAATTTTTATTCTATATTTTCGACTTCTTTTTTCGCCTAGAATCACCCGGTTGCAGCCGGTTTTTCAATTATGGCTGCACTAAATTCACAAACGTAGTACTTTTATAATACATAAATTTGTAATTTCTAAAACACACAATGATTTCAAACTTTTGGTCTACAGCGTAGTTTAATCGTGAAACTTATACGATCAAGAACTTTCTGTGGATATTTATTTGGAGAAATTTCGGGAGATCTACAAGTAGATAGCGATCAAAGCATTTCTTATATCTTCGATAAAATTTCACTAATTCTATGATCGAACAAAAATCGAAAGTATCTTTTATATGTAGTTGGAATATATAGTCGAAAGATATTGACATCAACGTGATAATTGGTTAAAAAGTGAAAGGAATATTAAACAGTACTTTCTCAGAGAAAAGTTAGACGTGCAGAAATCCTAACCTTTCTTTTCGAAACGTTACGATCTGTTTGAATATACAGAATACAGGAAATTATGTAAATAACTCTATTAAAGAAATACATATAATCTTTAATTTATACGAATTAAATATAATAAGGAATCACATATATAAAGTGGATTATGGATGACATTCAAGGAATAGAATCTACTCTTGTATCCAAGAGCAATTAAAAAAGAAAACACGCTGAGTCTGCCTTCAACCTACAAGACACTAAGACTGCTGACCACAAACTACGTATAATGTTTCAATGTCTTGCTTTGGAATAACACGATACATAAGTCCATGAGAAAACCATGAAACAAGGAGTTAAAGAAAGGAAAACGACAGATAAAATATTGCAATTTTACTAATACCAATTTCAGAATCCGAAAGATAATAAAAATTGTACTAACTTAACCCAAATTTAATTTAAAATTGACCCACGTCTAATTAACTCCTTGCCATACTATTTAACTCGGAAGAATCGAAAATCCAAACGTTGCGCGCGAATGGTCAGGGAAAGAGCCGAAGCGACGGACACAGAGCGTCGGAACTTGACACATGAGATCGTGCGACTGAGTACGTTGATAGTCGCGGCCGTGTTTAAGAAAAAGATACCATTCGATACATTCATACTTGACCCGAGTGAGACTCGTGATATTCACGTTTAACAGGAAATTAGACCACGAGCCTGACTCGTGATATTCAGATTTGGCTCAAAATTCTCATCACGACTCAGACTCGTAACAGTATGGCAAGGGGTTAAAATTTAATCCAAACCTAACCCAAGCCAGAAAATAATAAAAATTGTACAGATTCGAAAAAATCCGTCAAATCCGCATCTCTCGAAGTTCTCTTCCCATTCACTTCCCCAAATTCGCAAAACCATCTAAATAATAATTCAAATTAATTTCAAACTTACCTAAAAAGGGACTCGATTTTCGCCTGCCTGTCTTTCAGGATCTGTTTGGCCGCTTGATTAGTGTCCCAGCCAGTTGCCTGTAGCGCGGTGAGTATTTCCTGTTGTGATGCGTCAGCTGCCTCTCTCTGCACCTTCATTACTTTGTTCGCTCGAAATTCATCGTTGAGGGACATGACCAGCTGTTGAGAGGCCGCGGTCAATGGGGGGCTGACACCAGAGGGGTACGCGGACGTGGAGGGGGCTAATTGAGTATTAACGACCGTCTCTGTCATCTGAGGAGGCAGACATCTCGTCGAGGATGCTTGCAGCGTCATGGCGCCCTCTTGAGGCTGGTTAGTGTGCGTGAGCTGGAGTAGATTGGGACTGTTAGCCAAATTGCTAGCTAAATTGGACTTCATTGCAGTCTGGCCTTGTCCAAGATCGTTTTGAACCGATTTCATGGGACTCCACGTTGCCGGAGGCGGAGGATTGTATACCGGAGGCTGCTTCAGGTGAGGACTAAAGTCACAGGGATGACCTGGACCAAAAATATTCCTCGTAGACTGACCAGAACGAGCCTGGGAGCTGGCTGCAGCTCCCTCCAAGTAGTGACTATGACTTAGATTGCTGGCTGAATCACCTGCACCCGATGTACTAGCTGCATAGTAATTCCTTAGAATATTCTGCTGCACTGTCTTGTTATATAGCGTGTTAAACTCGTTTTGAGACAGTTGGTCTAGGTTTGGTACAGTCTGTTTCAACTCCGCGTACACTTGTTCCGAAAACACCACATTTGGAGGCTTTGAAACGTTACTGGAGTGTGCTTGGTGAAGATCATTTTGAATCTGCGTTATCCCATGACTGCCAGTTGGTAATGTGGGATTTGGAAAGTGGCTAGCCTGGTTTGCCGTCGGTAGCGAGTTCTGTGCGTGGTTAAAGGTTGGTTTGGACACATTGCTAGGAGCTATTTGCAACAGATTCAGGTTACCCTGAGCAGTACCATAGGCACTATGCTGCTGAGCTTGAGACTGCTGCCAGATTTGACCCACCATCTGTTCTGTTGCCGTTTCTAAGCGTTGTTCAGGCTGCGACCTGGGAGGCTGCTGTATGTTCGTACTCTTCGACGGCCACGAATTCTGAACCTTGCTAGGTAGATTGGTGCTTCTATAGTCCATCTGAGGAGACTTACGTTTGATAGTCTGAGGTGGAGGCCTTAATGCTGGAATTGTACTATCTTGTAATTTATTAACAGACGCATACGGATCAGACGAATCTGGATTCTGTTGGCTAGTGATCATGTTCTTGCTCGCCTCCTTTTCACCTAAATGCTTCTCCAGCTCAGCTAGGAAAGTAGGGTCCAACTTTTTAGGAGAAACGTTGCAAGAATTAATTGTTAGCTCATTCAAACTTTGGGCCAAGTCGTGATTCGATTTTGGTTTCGGAGGACTCTCGTTGGGAGCCACAGGTGGAGGAGGAGGTGCGTCGGAGGTCTGCAAGTTCCGACTAGAGACATTCACGTATGTCTGCGCTTCACTTTGCATATCTTCGGGCCAATTAGACCAATTTGCCATAGGTGGACTAGGCTTATCGATCTCACTATAGTGATTCTGACTATACGCACTATTTTCCTCTGTGTCCACGTTCACGTTCAAATTGATACTATCATTTCTACTCTCCTTGCTCAGATTAAGGGAATAATGGTTCACATCCGAGCCGGACTCTGGTGTGAAATAATTTGTACTCTCCTGGCTGCTACCGCCAACGTCCTGATTTTGTACGTTTCCATACGTTTGTGTCTTGAAATACCTGCTACTCATGTCGGAGGGAACGTGACTGTAATATCTCGAATGAGGCAGCTTCATGAATACCGAGGAAGTATCGAACGGATCTGAATAAGCCGGGTCGACGTTGCCAGGGAAGTTGGCATAAGTTCGAGGATCCTCGTCCTGCCAACTCGTCTGCTGTTGCCGTTCCAAATCGTCAATAGGCTCGTCAAGGATATTGACGACTCGTCGACAGGCAGTGTCCGATTGCGCCTCACTCGTATTCACCATCTCCTCCGGGGACAGATCTATCAAACTGCCCTCCTGACTGCCACTAGGAACAGAGGCGTTTAACGTTTTCACAGGACTAGCTCCGATATCATTCTGTAATTTTGTATAATTAAACTGTTTTCGCGATCTTGGTG